ACTACAAGCATGGAAATATGGCCAGAAATTGACTTCATTTTCTTTCATTTTACCTAAAAGAAACACCTAAGTAAAAAGCAGTCTTCTGGCCAAGTCATATTTTATCTTCTAGAAAGATAAATTCTTCATTCAGAGTCCAAAACAGAATTGTATCTCATCAATGAAGTGAATTTAGGGCTTGACCACAGGCACAGGCACATTTAAGTAAGGGAGACAAGGGGTGTGTTCTTGCAAGAAGGACAGATCAAGACAAAAACCAGACACAGCTACATGCATTTCTTACCTTGTTTATTCAGTATGCCTGAATTAGTCATACTTCTCCATTTGCACTAGTTTGAAGGCAAACCAGTGGAAGATTCCAAGTCAGAACTACAATTTAATAGGAAAATTTAAATAAAGACAATAGTATAGAAACACTAGCTTAACCTGATAGAGTCAGAATACAACCTGACACCCTGTTGGTTAACATGATGGGAGAAGTCCAGTTAAATGGCGGCTGTAGTCAGGTTGAAGTGATGGTGTGGTTCTGTCAAAGCAGTGATCCTGTAGTAAAGCCTGGTCCTTCTGTGGAGCTCCAGTGGTGATAATGATGCTCTTTTCCTGTGGGAATCCAGTGGTGCTGCTCCGGTGTTCTAAACCTCATATTACACACAGGTAGAACGGTTTGGTTCCTCCCCCTGGGCGGAGCATCTCACCATGGGATGGTGTAATTTTATGAGTCATTCTGTGAGACCTTGATGGCCCATTTGCAGAGATAGCCCTCTGGAGGGAGTTTTCAGGGCTGTCTCATGGTAGGAATAAAGAACACTGCCCCACCTGTTTTAACATCTTATGAAGACAGTAACAGAATATACACAGAATATACACTTTTGGATACATCTTACACTGTAACCTACCATTTAAGTAGGTTCTTGCTCCCTTTCTGGACTCTGAACATCATGAGAAATTTAACATCCACCAACCTAAACCTTGAGTCCTATATGGTATAATAACTATGCAAAAATGCAGCTTAGTGCATTATCTTTTATTCTGCTCCCTATGGAAAAGCTGTTGCATTATAATTATTAAGTATTTGATGTGCTGCTTTTTTTTAATGCCAGTAATGCTAAAAATGGAATAGTGGACTTCTGCTACAAGAGGAAGAAAAACTATTTCAAGAGGTGTACATTTTGATGAAACTATGATAGATGACGACAATCAGAAGCATAGAAAATATTCCAATTTAGGCTGTATGAGCAATTCTGTAGGTTTAAGTGTTCTGTGCACATTAGTCATAAGCAACTATTGGGATGTCTGCTGCCTTTGCTTGAGCTATTAATGAAAATATTGAAGCATATTGGAGTCAGCAATGCCAACAGACTGAAGTAGCAGTAGTACTTATAAATTCATAAAGCACCATTCATTGTTTTAGCTGCATTTTTTTCCAAAAATTTTTGAATGGTTAATACTATTAAATACATTCCATAGGATTCAATCAGAATTAATGTTGTTAAGCAAATGCAATAATACCTCATCAGCCTTGCCTGCTCCTGAAAAACACATGACCTTTCCATAATGTTGTGTATTTTGTTGAAAGTTACTATATAGCAATCAGAAATCTGTATTCACTGTAATTTGATAGATTGACATTAAAATTATATGTTAAAAAATACTTGGAGGGTACCTGACAAACTTACCTCATTCATCCTTCCACCTTGAGTTAAAAATCCAGATTTTTGTAACTTGGTCCTAAAGACAACTAGGGATTTGCTAGCTTCCCCAGCAAATCTCTTCTAGTGTTTTTTGTCCTCAGTGATAAAACAAGCTAAATTAATTCAGAAGAGATTTCTGGCCACCCACATAAAACATGAAATATTCTTAATGAAAAAGGGACTTCATATGGTAATATGCATTAACAAACATAAATGTTTCATGTTTCTAGCCACCATCTTCAGCATGAAATGCAGTTCTTAAAGAACTCTTTGTCATAGAAACTAATCAGCTCTCTGAAATTTGAAATGCTTAAATGCATGATTATTTGTATTATTCACATTTTTGCTCCTCCAATAGTCTTAGTGAAAGAAATTCTATTTTTATCACCAGATGCCATGAAATAGGATTTACTGAACATGTTTCTGGTTCACAGAGCTAAACTATGCCTCTAATTAATGTAAAATAAACCATACTATTTGATACAAATGCTATTCAAATATTTAAATTGATTAATGATTTAAATATCACTAGGATGTATGAGAAAGAGAAAATAATTTCAAGGCATAATTTAGCTAGCTTGTTAGAGGTATGAACTGCTGTAGATGGCACATTAAAGAAAGATAAAGGAATTGGTGAAATACTAAATATGAATAATTAAACTGCACAGTAAACTCATTTTCTGTAAAAAAATTAATTCTATCATTGTAAATGAAATGTAACATCTGGTTGAATTATATTACCTATGTGCCATACATATATGTATTATTTGTGTCTGCCTGTTACTTGAGAATACAGTAGAGAATAAAACTATACCAGGAGGGAAACCTAAGGAAGGGCAGAACAACTAAGAGAGGGGTCCTCCTCACTGTAGTCACAGCTGTAAGTCTATTTTTGAATGAAAGCTCAGGAGTGATTTGGAAGAGGAATGAACAAATTGGGAACTTGCTCTGGCTCCACTTTTAAGCAGCTTCTGAGACTCTGGGTCCCTGTTACATAGATAACATCGGAGCTTTCAATGGCATGGATAGAAGGTGAAGACAGTGAATCACTGTAGGGGATGAGCTGGTTTACTTCTCAGGATGCCATAGTCCTTTTCTGACCCAAAAGTATATTTTCATGGTAGTAGAATGACAAGCATGGGAACAGCTGAAATTTTCTGGAAGATGCCACAGGTGTGCATTGGGCTTTTGTTAAGAAGTGGTCTTCTCCATATTTTACCCAAGTATGAACTGACAGTTTTACATTGCAGTAACTGGAAAAATCCTTTTGAGTCTTGATGGTTAGGAGACTGAACTTTTTTGGTCAATTTCAGTTGGACTGTTGCAACCATATTGGGCAGGGAGAGAAAAGGGCTCTGCTGGGCAAGGCAGGATCATCACTGTCAGTTCTCAAGTGTCTTAGATGCAGGCAGGGATTTCTTGCATGGGGTGAAGATTAGTTCTCATGAAGCAGCAGGGGAGCTGGGTTTTAACCTTCAGGGAGGAAGAAGTGCAGCAGTAGGGAGAGGAGAAGAAGAAGATGGAGGTAACACTGTTTTCTTCTGAACCTACATGTGGCCTGGCATGAAACCAAAGAGCTGCTGTGGCTAACTATCACAAGCTGCCTGTGGAGTTGAGGATGGAATCTAGTAAAAGCACCTCTGAAGACATGTGAATTCAGGATCCTCTATATACATTTTCAACACCTTTTCAATTAGTCCACCTTAATAAAAAAATAATCTAATATACAAAAATCATGTAAGGTATTAAAAATTATCACAGATAATTGATTTGACATATATAGTCTTATATATATAACAATAAATAACAGAATTGACAGAATTCTGACTTTTAGGCTGAACATGTGATATAGTTTTTACAAAGGTATTAAGTAGGGTTTTGCTTGGAATAAACTTTTTAGGTTTTTAGAAAAGAATGTCAGGTATTATAAAATGGGAAATTTGAAATTCATTCTCACAGATAGAATGAGTTTTTCTCCTTTTGCTATTGATGCCTTAGAAAGATCACTTTCTGAGACTAAGTTGTCAGAGCCACAGCAGAGAAGAGCACAGAAAATGCAGCTTGATCTGGCTTGTGTGGAAGGAAACTGCAATTTCCGTTCCATTCCACTGAGACTAAATTAAGTTTTTTACTACATGCAACTGATTTTCTGATGTAACAACTATTAGCAGCCTTAAGATTTTCAACAACTTCTCTAATCTTTCTTCACTCCTCATGCCTACGAGGGAGTACTCTCCTGGAAAGGAAAAATCTGTACTTACTTCCAAATTTCTTTGCATCCTCCTGTGAAATGTCTGTTACAGATCAGTTTTGGACACAAGATATCAGACCAAATAGACCAGGGAAGGTTCTGTCATCCCATGAGCTCTTGCTTGTAATCTAAGCCAGGAAAGAGAAGTCACGCTAGATTTACCAGAAACCCTTCTTGGGTCCCGGTGGGAGAAGTGTCATATTGGTCTTGCTTGTTCTACAAAAGCAAACTTCAGAGCTGTGGGCAGATCCCTGTCACACAGAATCAGCACAGCTCCAGGGCAGTTCACTCACTTAATAAGAGGCAAAACAATACTGAGAAAAGCGGATTTAGCCAATAATTTAATTTTCATGTTACATTATCCATCTCAAAGGGTCGGGGTTTTTTGTATATATATATTTTTTTTTGGTTGGTTTTTGGTGGTGGGGGGGGGTGTTTTGGGGTTTTTTTGGCATTTCAGAGAAACTGTTGCAGCAAAAATTAGGAAAATAACGGCAGTGTTGAGACGGTGTGGATGAAACAAGACCCTGGGGAGCGCAACATGGGCGGTGGATTTGGCCGGACTCCAGCACTCCAGGCGGGTCTGTGCGGGGGCCACGTCGCTTCCCTTCCACACTCCCACCTTCTCCTGCGGCTTTGGGACACCAAGACCGGGGAAAATCTCCAATGCCTTGTTCAAGCCACAATCAACCACAGCAGGAGCGAGAGGGAAAAAAAAAAAAACAACAAAAAAAACAAATTACCAGAACTCCCCATCCTTCTCTGAAGTGTGTTCCTTTTCTGCGGCACAGCATTGGCAGTCCTTCACTCTCACTTTCAGACGTCCAGCTGGCGACACGGGCACAACTGACGTGACCCAGACGAGGAGTGCACACCCCCCACGCCCCAAACCCGGCAGAGCTCCCGGCAGGGTCCCCCACCCTCCTCTCGCCCCGCCAGCACCGCCCGCGTCCTTCCGCTCTCCCCCGCCCACGCCAAGGCCCCACCTGCTCTGCCCGCATTGGCCACGCTTTGCCCGCCCCCATCTCCGCCCCGGCGAGGGCGGCAGTGGTCCGTACCTTTGGCTGAGCGGCTCCGCAAGGGATCTGGACGCAGAGGAGAGCCGCGGAGCGCTCCCTGTTTGGGCCCTGGTCACCTAACGCTCAGCGACGCCGCGGACTCCTCTCCGGGGCCGAGGGGAGCGGGTCACCGCTTGCAAGCCCAGCTGTCTGGGAGGGCGAAAGAGAGACAAAGTAAACGCCAAAGAACCTCCAGCCTCTGTTCCTGCCTGGTTTTATTTTATCTTCTGTAATTATTTCGGAAAAAAACAAAAAAACAAAAAACCAAAAAAATACATCGCCGTGTTTTTAATAATTCGTGCTGCGTGTGCAGCTGTTCCAGCACACCCCTGATAAACAAAGGAAAAGGGGGAGGCGGCCCGCTTTTCGCAGAAGACATGCGTTCCGTCAGGAAGAGGTGGACTGTGTGCACCATAAGTCTTCTTCTCATCTTCTATAAGACGAAGGAAGTAACACGGACGGAGGAGCGGCAGGAGGCAGCTCTCGCCGGGTAACTGCGGGGCGCCGCGATGGGAGGGCGGTCCGAGGGGGCGGCTGGCCCTGTGGGTTGTCAGGTGCTCCGGCGCTACTCGGGCTGTGACCCGCAGCCTGCGATGCAAGCGCAGCTCGGCACTCTCGCTGGCGGACGCTATCGGTGGGCCCGGATGCCGCTGCGGGACGAGTGGCGAACGGGGCTTGCTGCCAGGGCTAGACGGCCGCAGGGTGGGTATGAGTGCTCGGGAAAGGATGGGAGCTGCCCTGCTTCTGAAGTTGCCTCTCAGCCCCTGGGAAGTTTCACCTGTCCGCGGTTGCCTCCAGAGGCCGGGACTGTGGTTGCTGGAGCGCATTGTGCCTCGGTTCCTTGCCTTTCGCAGGCAAGCGTGCTGGGATGCTGGTGAACGCCTACTTCCGTCTTTGATGTTTGCCTGGAAGCTTTCCTTAACTTGGCTTTTTCTTAAGGATTCTTTTTCTGAGGGAAGTGTGTGTCATCCCCCTTAGCTCTCGAGCTTCCCCCGCTGGAAAGTCTGGCCCCTTGCTGAGACCATCAGTTACATACTCTCCCTTTGCTGCCTGTGCTTGACTCAAAACGAAAGGCCGAGTGTTCCTTGCCATTTTTATCTTTGCACCTCAGCTTTCTCTTTATGTGAAGCCTGCATTCCTCATTTTTTTCCCAACTTGCAGCTGTTCTCTGAAGTTTTCAGCTAGCTGGGTTTTCAGCCAAGCTGGTTTTTCCATGGAGATGTATAAGATTTCGATTTCCCTGGAGCAATTCATAAATTTATTGGTCTTTCAATGTAATTGATAAAAGCTAAGTAGGAACTCACACTTTCTGTTTACTCGTGCATGTCGACTGTAGGTAGAATTCTTTCACAGCAGATTTTTGTCCTCTTATGTAAGCCCTTGCCTTAATTTAAGGAGGAGGCATGAGGGGATTGTAAGTACCCATACAGGCAGGCCTGGAGGAAGCTGAGGCAATTACAGGCTACTTGGCCTCCGGAGTTAAAGACAGGAAGCACGTCCCCCTTTCTCAGGCAGTCTGGTGAGGGAGGGGAACACAAGCAGCTGAGCACGGCTGGGCAGCTGTGGCCTTGGCATGTGCTGAGGGCAGGGGCTGTCCTCGCCTGTGTGCAATATTTGCTTCCTTTGTTTTTCAAGATTTTCACAACTTGCTGGTATCTCTTCCTCTTGTTAAGCCTGGGTGTATATCCGGTTTCTACCACAAAGCTACCTGTATTCTTAGGAGATGTACAGAAGTTTAAAATTTGAAGTTACAGCTGTGTAAAAACAGACGTGAAAATGAACATGTGAGGTAAAATTGTCATTGATATCCATGTTTCTTAGTATGTCCTCCTTCCTCTCAGACTAGAAGGAACTGGTGAAATTATTCAGAAATCAATGCATATAAGTTTGCAAAGAAAAAACTGCCTTCTGCTTACTGCACATTGTTTGACACAACTTAAAGTCTTACTAAAATGAACTGTTGTTTTAATATTAAATGGAAGAAAACAAGTGTGTTTAGTTATAAATACGTATGTTCCTAACAAACTTTTTAAAATACAGCTGCAATATACTTCTGACTAGTCATTTGTGATATCTCTATTTATTTATTAGGGAGACTTCTTGTACTGTATGGTACTACTCACTTCCATTGTTGAAATATTTTTTCTCTTCACAGTCTGTCATCCCATTCATTACTGTATGTAGTAGAAAAAGTAGCCTAAAAATGTATTGCTCATAACTGCTGCCCCTATTGATGTTACACTTACTTTTCTCCTGAATTAGGGGTTTGGGACGTTGGGTTATTTTTGACTGGTCGTATGGGCAAGCAAAGTCAGTTTTCCATGGGTTGTTTTACTTTCAGAAGTTATGAATGTACAAGGTGGCCCATTTTATGGTTATTAGCGGCACCAGACAGTTCAAAATGGACTGGCTATATACAGTTCCAAATAACATGAGAAACTCTAAACCAACTGTGCGCTTTCATAGAGAAATGAATAGGACAATTACTGTGAAGCGCACCCTAATTCAAATAGACAGTAATATCCCTTTAAAGGTTAAGCAAGTAATGAAACGTGCATGCTATGGACAGAGTAGTGTTGCTTAGGCAGTGTCATCTTCTATTGATATGGAATACACTTCAAGTCAGTTACTTTATTTAATGAACTATCTTCATGAGAAGAGAGTTTTGTTATATAGGTCTGATTGGTCACCAAGGCAAAGTAATCCAAAGTGATTAATACTGTCAGCTGTAAGTTGCTGCCACAGTTTGGCAGCTCTTTCAATTACATCAGAAAGGATTTGCAATGATTCCAGAAGATACAAAATAATCTGCATTTCTTTCACTTATTTACACAACGAAGAATTACCTGGAGAAAGTTTTGATTTTATGTATTAGTTTATTTAATATTGCTTTAAGTGAAAATTAATCTAATAAAAGAGAGAGGAGCATCTAAATGAGCACATTTGTATTCATAGTAATAACTTGAACACAAAGTGCCTAGGACCTTGTTTCATAAGAACATAATTTAACATTTTTTCGATGTACAATCTGTGTAACTCACTGCAGTTGTATATTGTGACTATGGAAATCAACCACATTTCAAGTGCTACGGTTTAAGTGTTGGAAATGCATTTTGTTACTAAGTTTTGTCACTTGTTTCACTGTTCAAGTGTGTACTAAATAATATTTAATCTAGAATAAACTAGAGGCATCTCCAATCCTTAGACTGAGAGCTTTACCTGGATGTAATTTGGTCATTTTCCTTTAGATGCATGCACTCAATGCATGTAGAAAATACCTACAGGAATATGTATGTAATTAATATTATTACAATGAATTTGGAAAAGTTTCAGAGAATAAAAAAAATTAATATAGCAAAAGGTATTATTGGATTCTGGCTAATGGATTTTGGGACTTCTGCAGCATCTTCCCATGCTTTCAAGTTATCAGGGTTTGGGTAATTTGCGTACAGGTCATGAACCTAAAGTTGTAGGTTTTTGGTAGATGGCAGCCTTACCTCTGCATCAGTGTGATGTCTGGCCTGCAGGGTGTTGACATGTAAGGGTGAGGGAGAAAGTAATGCAGGATGGTTTTGGTGAAGAGTGTGGTAATGGTTTGTTAGTTATAGGGGCTTTTGCAATGACAGCACATTTTAGAAATTACTACATATTACCAGTTTCGTTAATTTAGCTTAATTAATGTCTTGTTGCAGGTTAGCTTGGGTTTAGGCTGTTGTAAAATTTACTAAGTATTTTTGTAAATAATACTTATAATATTATTTACAATAATATTGCAAGTAATGTTGCTGTGTTTCTTACTAAGGGCACTGATACCATTGCTATCAAAGCTTACAGCCACAGAAAAACAAAAGTCAGCAATTCTGGAAAGCTTTCAATCTCATATCTTTACCATTTTGTTCATGGAAGGGCTGTGGTGAGATATTCTGTTTCCAAGTAAAGTTATTGTTATTGGCAATATTTCAGAGCATGTTTATTTAACAGACAAACAGATTTCTGTATGTTATTGTGCTGTGCACACCTGAGTTACAAGACTTTTTTTTGTGGTGGACTTTTACATCCAACAGCTTTGATATATTTGTGATTAACAGCCATGTTTGAACTGATCTGATCATTGCTCTGGCATCTAAAAGACTATGGATGATAATGGAAAAATGTGGAGATAAAAATGAGTTTTAGTCATAACACCTTAAATTATGCTTGTAGTGTTTGGACTTCTCTGTCCCATTTATATTATCCTGTTGGCTAATATCACTGCAACTTGTGCTAGCTCACCAGATGTTCAGTGGTAATCATCCAAAGCTTACTGTATTTATTTTTTAATGTTACCTTGCCAAAAAGTTACAATCATAAGATGGATGGACAGGATGATTGGAGTGTTTTTGATGTGTGTATGTAAAAGTTTAATGAAGTGTTAGTGAAATTTTGTATTTTGTATACCATTAAGCTCCAGAATTCCATACTTAAAAATCTTTAGCAGGAGGCCAAAGATATCTGTTAAACCAGTATTGCAGATTATGAACTGGGCAAAAGCTTGAAATGTAACGCTTGATTCTTAGTTTAGTACTAGAAATTTGGAATCTAGAAGTGCAGAATCTGCCTCACAATCATAATGGAGTTTTGTCCAGATTCACAATTTGGAGTTTATTGTAGTTCTTGTAATGTCTATTCCATTACTAATGTAAACAAATTTAAGCTCTTAATTGGCATATTCAGCTATTACAGATAGCTGTGTCATAGATTTTTTCTGTTATAGTTTATTTTCTTTAGAAAGTGAAGGGATAGTTGCTTATTTTTGTTGTGAATAAAAGGATATATTGCTGGTGCATGGGATATAAATGACTTAACTGGAGTTAACCTTGATGTTATTGTGTGTTTTCTATATTGCATTGCAGAGATGGTACACTGAGTTTGGGTAGATCAATGATCAATAGCTCCAATAAGATAATTCGAAAGGGTGGCTCCTCAATTTTCCAACATGCTGCAGAAGGTTGGAAAATCAATTCTTCTTTGGTAATGGAAATAAGGTGAGTTTCTTAAATAAAAAAGCAATTAATTTCACCTTGCCTATGATTATTTTCATTCATATTGCTTTATAATTCCTTTGGTCTATAAAACACTAATTTGATTTACATTTGCAGGTGGATGTTTTTAAACTGCATCTATTTAGGTTTCAGTGTTAAATGCAACTGCATGACATTGGGCTTCAAAGTAAAGTCATCCTTCATAAGAATTAATAAAATGTTTTCATCTGGCTGTGACTGTAACACCTGTGCAATCAATCTCTATTATTCATGTCTGTATTTGAGCTGGTTGTCTAGAATTCTTCCACAGTCAGTGGTGAGAAACTGCTTTTAGGACCTGATTTTCTCTTATTCTAAAAGTTTGATATAGAACAGGTGAAAGTATCCTAAGCATACCAGTTTTCCTCCCTTGACTACAGAGGAAGCTTAGGCAAACAGATGGGATGCAGGAGTCAATAGCTGGGCCATCAAGTGTTGTGAAACCACTTGAGACTGTGGCTGGTCCACATCACAGGGTCAGACCCTGACAATAGCTGTGACTTAAGCAGTTTCCTTTCTTGATGTCAGGCTAAAAAGAGCCTTAGGCTTATGCTGAGGGAGCAACCCAGTAGCAGAGTTGAACTCTTGTGTTATCGTTCTGATGTGGCTCTACAGTGGATCTCTGCACCTTGGGGCCACATAGAGTACCAAGATATCTCTGAGTGTGTGGTGTCATATCTTCCCCATATTCATCAGGAAGATGGCCCATGAGAGAGTCATATGGAGTGTAGATTGGCAGCGTGGAGATCTAGGAGTGTCGCATTATATGAAAAATGAGGGAAAGTAGCTATTTTTAACAACAATCACATAGCAGATTAGACCTGATTTCTGAATATTAAGATTTTGAATAGTAATGTGTTCTAATTAAAATGTGGTTTCTATGTGATTTCTCTTTCTACTTTAAATTTTTTTTTAATTTTTTTTTAATTAAAGGACAGTTTACAAACCCCTTAATCAGGCATTGTTTTCATGTATAAAAGCATGGCTTCTCTGAAGGAGAAATTTACGGATTTTTTTGATGACTGCTATTTCATGTCCTTAATTCTAAAGCATGCAGAAAATAAAGGTAGCTCAGAAAGGTATGTATCATAAGTTATGGGTCCAAAAGTTGGGAGAAAACAACTTTTCCTACTTGTGAAGTAAGCTGATTTGGAAATGATTGCATGATTATAAGTAGAGACAATTATTTTCAGTCATTTTACTGAAAATTTGAGTATCATTTAGAACCAATATGCTTTGCTGCTCAAGCCAAACAACAAGAAAAAATATTACAATAACCTTTTGGTTAAAATCGAGAGAGAAAATTAAGCTTGTGTTTTGACATTTTTCCACCTGTTCCAAATGCAGAATATATTATTCAGACAAAGAGGTGAACCAGAAGAGAATGCTTTAGTATTTTTTCATCCTGTTAATACATGTGTATCATTTCAATCTACTAGGTTAATGAGATTCAAAATAACTTTTTTCTTTATTGCTTCCAGAGAGGGAAATTTCTCTTATGTATTATATCACTATTGTGTACCTAAGAACCACTTTTATATGTGAGATTTTTTTTAAATATCGTGCAGGGAAGGGGGTCTTTTTTGTCTCATTAGTATAGTGAAGAAAACAGTGTGTCTTGTGCACTGGCTTAAGTACTAGAAGTAGAGGTTCCACCATAATACTTCCATGGTAAGATTTTCAGTACCATAGAGGGCAAAAAGCTGAGATTATTTGGAAGTCCACATAGTCAGTCGTATTTTTGGAGGAAATGGCTACCTCAATGAACTCTGGGGCAAGGAGTAGGTGTGAACCAGAAAATTATTTTAGATTAATGTGACTTAGGGCAAAAAGTTGACATGAACTCTACAAAAGGAGTGCTATCTGCCAGACATAATCTTTCCAGAAATCTTTGCTGACATGCATAGCACATTCAGTTATGGTTCTCAGTGGTGAGGGAGGGATATCCGGGAGGCTTTTCACTGAGGAAGCTACATGCAACTCCTTATGTCTTTCAGTCTGATGTTGACTAAATTATGTACATTCTCTCACTTTTTCAGGTGGTTTGCTATACACGTTCTTCCATGTCACAACAGTAAGAAGCATTTTAGCTGTAGTTTTACACTTACACACCTATCAGGACTAACTTAAAAGTGTCTGTCAAAGTCGTACAGCATTCTTGTGGTTTAACTAGCTGCTTAGCCCTCCATGATATGTTACATGCACTGTGTAGACTATGAAGATGATTCATTGTCTATAATCGCAGCTGTTAACATGAAGAGTGGTTGGTAGTCTTGTGGTGTGACCATAGGAAGTAACAGTAAGAGAGAAACAAAAAACAAGCTAATCCCTGTTCAGTAATATATAAAAATGTTATCATTTCTAAGTAGTGGAGAAATATTTTGTGAAGTCATTAGGGCATCATAAAAATATTTCATAGAACTTACAGTCACCCATAAATGACAGATGTTTTTGTATCTTACTTCAGCTTGCCACCCACATTAGCAATTTTCAAATGTAGAAAGTCTTTTTTTGCTATGTGCAAGGACTGTTGGTCAGTGATATGTCAAATCTCAATTGGCATCTAGAATATTATACTTTGCTATTGCTTTGTTGACTTTGTGGGCATCATCTCTGACCATTTTATTTTTGCTCAAGTTAGCAATGTGTCTATCAGCCTCAAAGGCCTTAGGAATTCTTGGCAAAGCCAGGCTCAGATAAAAGTCAATGAGTGGTAAATCTTCTTTATCAGGACCCCATTGAAGGATGGAAAGCTTCCAGTGGGTTTCTGGTGCTCTAGAACTTTGCAGCCAGACAAGGCAGTCTGTGGAGTGTAGCAGCCCTCTTGGGAAGGCAGGAGCCTTTTGGAGATACTAAGTAGGCTTAAGAAGAAAGAGCTAGACTTTCTGTGATTGAGATGAAAAGTTTCGTTATTAATAATTACCTGGGATGGTGTGAAATGTGTTGCCTTTACAATGACTGGTTTAGTGGGAGACTGATTTTTGCAACTGATGTTACGTTCTCGTTGCTGGCAACTTCTTTGAAGAAGAATTAATAATTCCTGTGACAAAGGGAAGAAGACTGCTTTCCTAGCTCCCTTTTCTATCTGAGTTACTTCAGTCATGAAGAGGAGTCCACCATCTGCTAAGGTTTTATGTCTTATGTCCTTTCTACTCTCTGTGGCAATGTGAAGGTTTTCTTTATAGAAATAAGGAGACTTCATTTGTAATGAAAGCTATAGTTTTAGAAAGTAGGGATGTGGCAGAGATGGTACTAACCTGTTTGGGAAAGTCTTCCACACAGGGCTGACAACAGCACATCTGTGACCTGTGTGAAATGAACTACAGTTTGATGTCTGTGACTTTTTTCTACTTACTTTTAAATAAATTTGGGAATTTATGCTGAAAGGAGCAGAAGAAGATTATTAATTGCAGGAAGGCTAATTTTTTATAAGTACATTGGGGATGTATTTATCTCTGCATTGTAATAGAGACTATTTCCTCAGAAAAGTGTGAGGATTTGTAAGATGTCAGCAGCATTTAAAAAAAAAGCATCTTCCTCCTTCAAAAGGTTCAGATTATTATCAATTTTTGTCTTACAAGTTAGTGTGAAACAGCTGTGACAAGTCCCCAAAGTGCAAGTAGTAAATACAGAATCAGCAAAGGAGCACTACAATTACTAAGCAGTAAATATGGAACCAGCAATGGAGCCCTATAATTGCTCTGAAGCTTTTGGAGCAATGTTCTGAAGCCTTTTGCAGTGTTTCTTTCTGGTTGTTTTTTGTGTCAAAGACATGGAGTCCAGGGTTCTCTGGTCTGGATTCGTCATAATAAACCTCAGGAGATTTTTGCTTGCCAATCTGTGTTACTCTACCTTGCTTATCTTCTTCAAAAGCTTGTATATGGATGACCTTTCTGTGATAAGCAGTAGTTGAGTCATGGTGTGTTTAAAATCCCTCTTCCTTTTCCATGTCTACTCTTGTATTACAGCATTTCTGTTTGTGTGGCCTCCATCATCTTGGAATTCCTAGAAGCTCTTCCAGGGTTATTTGCAGCTAGGTATGTTTTTAACAAATGCAAATTAGTTAGTTGATCTAGATGATTTTTCAAGTCCTCTTCCAACACAAACTATCCTGTTTCTGAAGGCTTCTTTCCTGGAAGAGCTTTTCTTGAAACATCCTTTTAGACTAAAGTAAAACCTAGCACAGGTGAAAATAGCTGTGGTCCCCACTGTCTCCTCAAGAAACTAACAGGAGGTGGAACTCTAGTCATGTACAAGAGCAAGCTGTGACCTTCTGTTACCATAGAGTTTGTTCTTTCATGTTGTTTTTAATTAAAATTAATTTAGCTGGCAAAAATCATGTTTTATGTAGGCTGTGATTCCTGGTGATTCTAAAGGCGGAAAGCCACCTTCTGCTTTCCAGCTGCAGAATGCAAAGCAGAGTCAGGACTTGATAGGGTTGGAAAGTTGAGTTGTTTATGAAGGCCTGTCAGAGAGTGTTTGCAGGAGATCAAGGGGAGGGACTAGAAATCTACAGCATAAAAGTTTAAAAAAAAAAGTTAAGTGGTTTCTTATCCCCAGGTAAATGAGGGATATTGCTAAGAATAAGGTGTAGTCCTAAGCAAGGCATAAGGAGCAAGAGCAGCCTCAGCTGCTGTGGAAACGATCTGAGGAATACTATGCTTCCATAAGTAAGGCCAGAAAAGCACTGACTGAGATGCATGGGGAGGTTGTTAAGTACCCACCACATGGGATTATTAGGAGCGTATTAGATAAACATGGGCTGGGGGACATGTAGATAAAGGCACATCTTCAGTGGGCACAGAGAGGGTCAAGTCCATCTCTGTTCCATAATGTCATTGCTGGTGGACCCTCTTGGGCACTTAGGATGCACTCCAGAGGCTTCTCCTTACGTCTGAGGGTCTACTCAAGTCCAGCAGCAATGATTTGTGGCACTGCCTTCCTCTAGAAAAATGATTTTTCCC